GCTTCTTACCCGCTACTGTCATATCTGGAAACTGCTTTGATGGGTCAGATCTCGGGGGAAAAAAAAACGAAATCTTAACTAAGGCCGATGTGAGTTCACAAAATTTCAGCTTTTTTTTCAAAATTTCTGTTTACCTAAGCGAACCTAACATACGCATCTGCCGTACTAAATGGAAAGATTAAACGAAAAGGAAACATCGCAGCGGTAAGAAGTTGGCGATTACTTCCTCTGACCATCGCTGCTGCACCATTCGAACTTCTACAGACTACTCTTGCCAACTGGTCAGCACTGAACGGACCGCAGCTCCAAGCAAGCCACAATCGCCAAGTTCATAAAGCACTGCTGCTTCTTGATGGATTGTTGAATACTCATTGTTCATAATTGGAAAAGATGAAGAAAAAATACAGTTAAAAAGCAAAGGAAGAGAAGTTCCATTGTATGCCAGACGCCAGCAATTCCGACGATCCAGAACAGACGTATGAACATAGTGACACCGAGGATGTGCTGCACCGTTGGTAGGTAGACGCCGAAAAGTGTGCCCAAATTCGCCGACTGCAAATTACTAACTTTCAAAGCCTTAAACTTTATAGCATGAAGTAGCAAACTGAGAAAGCAACTGCTCTGACCTACTCTGGGAAATGATTACACGTACGTGATGTAACATAATCAGTTTTTCTTTGACAAGATAGTCTGCGCATTGAATTTTGCATCCACTCAGTGGTATTTCTCGAAAACTATACAAGTCGAGTGAGTTTTTAGCAAACTTGTCGACCAAATTATTTACACAGGGAAGCAGCGAGCTTCCTCAATGGTCCAGTAAGCATATGCTGTTTCCCTAAATTCAAAATTTCTGACTGGCTCAGCTAATCTCTGCAAAAGGAGTCATCCTCTCGCCCTCCCCCTCCCCCCTCCTCCTCCTTCACCCCCTATTGTCCTCAGGCATGAAATACTTCGCAGAAAGAGGCATTATATAAGTAGATAACTCTACTGACTTACCTTCCCTGATCTTTCCTTTGACTGTGGTTGAACGAAACCTTTCAAGTAATGCGAGAATAGTTCAGCGGTCGTGTCTTCGAAAAGTCCCATAGTTGTTTGTGCACGGAGTTTCTTCACGAATGCTTCTCTGCCTTTCTGGTCACCTGATATTTTTTATGAAAAGTGTAGTGTAACAGAACGCGACCTGGTTACAAGGCATCCAAATCCGACTTTTATTTTTTATTTGGATGTTGTGTTTCTTTTACCTGTGCATTTGCTTTATTCATCGCCCATTACGTTACAAACCCCAATATTTTATCTATTTCACTAACAGTAATTAATACAGTATTCCTATTTCACTAACAGCAGCAAGAATTGCGTATATCCTAAATCTCTCGGTGAGGATGCTGAAGTTTATTGTTCTTGAGCGTCAGAGCAGAACTTCAATCCTAGCCTAGAACAGCACCAAATTACCATCGAGAGTCAAAGAACTGTGGGCGTTAGTCAAGAGTAGGCAAACTGCCAGAATGCACTGTTTATTAGTTGTGTAGATAAATGCTACAATTAGGCATGTCTTGAACATACGCCTTCAGCGCTTTACCTATTTTTCGCAGCTTTTCAAGCAAACGTCATTTAAGGAATGCAGCAGAAATGAGTCAACAAAAGGAGGCCTGTCTGAACGACATCCATTCCTGCATACTTCGGTTCAAGCCTAAGAACCAGCTGGAAAGTAAACAGGACTAAGCTAATGTGTTTTCAAAAAGTAAGTGACCAATTTGAAGGGAAGAAGGTGAACAGAAAAAGCTGTAAAAAGATTTTCACCTCTTTTGCGAACGAAGATACACAAAACAGCTGAAAGCTTCCCTGTTTTGCGATTCAAATTAAATGTAAACC